GACAAAAATATAAAGAATGTGCTTGAAGGCATCAGAAAGCTAATAAGGCAGTGAAGAAAATTCAGTAGGAAAATGCACAGAATTATAAGTAAGTCTGGCATTTTAAGCCATTGTCCCCCAGGTTCATCCATATATTAAAGATAAGCCAGACATATACGAAGGTTGAGAAGAACTTTCAACAGATCCCTGGGTTCAGAGAAACAAAAGGTGAGTTCAGGGTTGACAATGAGAAGGCCCCTGAGAAAAAGCCCTAGGCTTTGGGTTGAGACTAGAAAAGAGCTGCACACTTGGAGTACTAAACAGGCCATATAATATCCTTTAAACAGATTAAGCCATTTTTCAATGAACTTAATAGATAACTGGAATAAAGTGATGACCACCTGCTAGAGGTAATCTCAAATCTTTTCTGTAGGATGATGTCATCATCTGGGACCTCAAATTACCCCTACAATTTTCCTAAACAAATTTCACCACTCCATCAGAACAAACCAGGCATTACATAAGACAAGACAATGTGATTGCAATCTAAAAACAAGAGAAACAGACTCATAAGGGATCCACATAATAGGATTACCACATAGATTTTAAAACAATTGTTCCTTACATATTGAAGGAAGTAAAAGTCAAGATTATGAATTTCAGCAGAGGATCAGAAACTATAAAAGAAAAAAAATAGTAAGTGAAACCAAAAAGAACTCAATTAATGATTACAGCAGATTAGATAACTGAGGTGAGATTTTAGCACACTGGAAGATAGGTCAGAAGAAAACATCCAGAATGAAGCAAATTCAGGATGTAGGAGCACTGGGAAAGGGGTAGGGATGAGGGATCCTAGTATGTTTAATTGGATTCTCAGGACAAGAGAGAATGAAATGGAATTAATATGTGAAAAAGAGGCCCCAAATTCAAGAGATGTTTATAACCTCAAGCAGCATAAATGCAAAAGAAAAAGCAGGGGGTTAGGGGTGGAGGGGTGATGACAAAACTCTACATGAGGCATCTCCAAATAAAATTGCTGAAAAAACAAAAAGAAAAACAACTAAAGGCAGCTAGGGAAGGCATGATGTATTTGAAAAAGAGAAAATTATAATAATAATAGATTCCTCAAAGAAACTTTAAAACCAGAAGATAATTGGTTATCTTTAAAGTGCTGGTATTAAACAACTATCAAAATTCCATAACCAGTAGAAACATCCCTTTAAGTTTGGGCGCAGTGGCTCACACCTGTAATCCCAGCACTTTGGGAGCCTGAGGCAGGTGGATCACCTGAGGTCAGGAGTTAAAGACCAGTCTGAGCAACATGGAGAAATCCCATCTCCACTAAAAACAAACAAACAAAAACAACAACAAAAAAAACGAAATTAGCTGGGCGTGGTGGTGCATGCTTGTAATCCCATAATCCCAGCTACTCTGGAGGTTGAAGCAGGAGAATCACTTGAACCTGGGAGGCGGAGGTTGCAATGAAAGATCCTTTTAAAATAGAGTCAAAATAAAGATATTTTCATACAAAAATAAATTCACTGAACCTGAATTAAGGTATATTCTTCAAATAGAGTGACAGCGATCGCAAATGGAAGACTGAAGATGTAGGAGAATAAAGTATGATAGTAAATATAAATATGTATGTAAATTGAGTATCAGCAGGATAGCACTGTAAAACATGAAACATTTTGTGGAGTTTGAGCTATATCGAGCATTACAATACATTACCACAGTAACAGTTAAGTCAGGAGGAAGTTAAAGCCCAGAAAGAGGTAACTCCTTGGCCTGGTGCCTGGTGTGGTGGTTCACACCTGTAGTCCCAGCTCTTTGGGAAGCTGAGGTGGGCGGATCATGAGGTCATGAGATTGAGACCATTCTGGCCAACATGGTGAAACCCCGTCTCTGAAACAAAATACATCTCTACTAAAAATACAAAAATTAGCCAGGCATGGTGGTGGGCGCCTGTAGTCCCAGCTACTTGAGGCAGGAGAATCGCTTGAACCCAGGAGGCAGAAGTTCCAGTAAGCCAAGGTTGTGCCACTGCACTCCAGCCTGCCGACAGAGAGAGACTCTGTCTCAAAACAAACAAACAAACAAACAACAACAACAAAAAGGGTAACTCCTCTATGAAGAGGTAATTCCCTTATGTCAGACTTTGTAATAAGTCCAGGATACATACTGTGGCCTTTAAGTTAATTACAACAAGACAAGTAGAACAACTTGTAACTACCAAGCTTAAATAGAGAAGAGCAGAAGAATTTAAAATACTCTAACAATTCAAAAAAAGGAAAAAGGAACACAGAACAGGCATTCAAATAAAGAGCAGATATTAATATGTAGATTTAAACTCAAATATATTTTAGGAATTACATTTAAGAAGCAAATGAGTGCTCAGTCTGTGTAGCTACCTATTTATTTATGCTACTCACTCCAGAAAAGATTTTTAGGAGCATGAATGTGTGAGTAGGTCGGTGACTGCCAGGCAGAAAGAATAAAGAATATTTTTACTGCAGAAAAAATAGCATACATAAAGACAAAGAAGTTTAGAGTGCCATGGAGGAAGGTTTGAGTGTCTACAGTTCAAGAAGCATCAGAAGAAACCACAGGAAATGCACCTGGAGAGGCAGCTCAGGGATAGCTGAGGGGAAAGTGGCCTCTGTACCTCTTAACAAGTATGGAATTGACCCTCAAGGGAATGGAGCATATTTGATAGATTTTAACCACATAATGACATGGACAGACTTGTATTTTAGAAAGTTCACTCTAGCAGCTATAGAGACAATCAGAATTTGGAAGCAGAAGTATAAGAAAGACTGAATGTAGATAGGTGATTAGCTAGGGGACTGGCATAAAAGATTACAAGGGCCTGAACACACACAGTGACTTTAGGGGTGGACAGCAGAGTACAAACCACACAAGGAGATGGAATGAATGTGGTGGCACATGAATGGGTTAACTGGATCATGAAGAAAAACAGTTGCCATTTAAGTAATTCACATTACTAATGGAGGCAGAGATGTGCTCCTTTTAAAAAAGTAATGAAATGAGGAATGTCTCTCTGAAGGAGGACAGGCATTTAGAAGCTGGCCTGAGGAAAATCTGGAAAATCTAAACTGGCTGCTTGGTGAGCAAAGAATTAGAGAAAAAGTTAACAGTATAGTTTTAATGTTTAATGGCATACGGCAGTAGCAGACTAAGCATTTTAAAAGGTGAAATTTGCTTAGCAAGTGAGTTCTCCTCACACACTGCCATATACACCACAGAGTAAAATATAACAGCAAACACAAATAGTGACTGCCACAGACAATCTATTTTTAGAGAATTCAGATGTTTTTGTGGAGAAAAAACTTGAAATGAGTTATAAAAATATAGTTTTCAAGAGATACCTAGCTCAAAATTTGAGATGTGTATTTCAGAAGATTAGTATCTAAATATACATACCAAATAGTTCTATATTCAAAACTCCTCATTTTTGCCACAATTACATTTAGTCTGAATATTTGACTCTGTGAAGTCCAAAACTTAATGTACTTTTCATAAGTCAAATTTCCTTTTTTTGAAGTTTTTATTCTACTAAAACACATGTCATACAAATCAATCAGACTTTTTAAAGGAAATTACATAATTGACCACAAAGAAAGGAAAGTGAAATAAGCGGTGAAGCCACAGAAAAGGCATGGACAGGTCTTCAAAAGAGAAGCACTTCCACAGCAGTAACTGTCGGTACCAGTCAACTGCTCCCCCTTACATGAGTTACAGGCAACAGTTTCTGACAACTGGTTAGAAAGGAAAGAAAAATGCAGGTTATGAGAAACAAAGAAGATAGGAAGAAAGACAAATTTGTACTAATTAGAGATGGAAAAATGTATAAGTAATCCTAAAAAAGATAACATTGTCTATATTAGTACATCTTTATTTAGTCACATGACAGTGAACAGTAAATGATGAAAATCTTACTTTTGCAAAGCCATCTCCTTCTGCTGATACAGTTCATTCAGAATCTCTACTTTCTGCCTCAGGGCACTCATCTTCCATTCCATCTTTGGCAGATTGCAGTGAGTAGTGGTCATCTTCCAATTTCTTTATCTGGTCTGTAAAGGGTAAAACATTTGAGCTCTACGTGTGTGCACAAGAACTTGAGAACTTGGTTGGGGGTTTGGTGCTGAGAGGAGTGAGATGTATGAAAGCGGGAAACCACTCTTTATCTATCTAATGCAATTTTGGATCTTTCCAACACATAGCAATTTCTTCTCAAGAAGCAACCTACCTTCCAGGTTACATTTAGTGGACATGGAGGCTCTTAGCTTAAGTTGTAAACATTTTAGATCCTCTTCAACTACCGATATTGCAGTGTGTGTCTAAATATTACAGAAGAGAGAAGTATTCATATAAGTGAGACATGGTAAAAGCATTCACAGGCACTTATGGGACTCTAAAAAAGGACTATACCCGAGAGACATCCATCATCTGCTTAATTTGATTTTTCATCTTCTCATTCCGGTCACCTAAAAAACAAAAGACTTTCATTGCTTTTTCTTCCCTTGCATTTTAAATCTGTATTTTCTTGATTTATGCAAAACTAAACAATTGTCATGTTCAAACATTTAAAGAACCAAAAAAAAAAAACAAAACAGGATTAGACTGACTTTTTAGAGAACTGCAAACCTAGATCCAAAAAGTGAATTACCACTTGCACAATAAACATGTTATACATGCCATCCTTGAGCAAGAAGAAACATGTGAGATAAAGCTCTGTCTTCTATCTCAGATCTTTCTCCACCTGGGCTTAGTAAGTGTCTCATTCAGAAACATTCCCTCCTATTCTCCTCCAGAATCTGCCATCAGGTGTGGTTTAAAACACTCACTACGTAAGCAATATCCAACTTGAGAGACAACATCTAGAAACACTTTCATCATCAGTAAACACTACTACCCTATAGCTTCCACTCTCATGGCCTTAGTTTCTGGATCCAACCACCTCAGTACTCTTTAAACCAGTTGTGCTTTTCTCTCACAGCCTTAGTTTATGCCTCCAATCACCTCAGTACTCTTAAAGCCAGTGGTGGGCCTTAAAACCAAACAGCACCTGAGATGACGAGTTTTAAAATGTTATCTCCATTCAATTGAGAAATGCAGTTTCTACTACTGTATATGTTCAATACTTAGAGGTGTGAGATATGACCAATGCACCTCCCGTGCACCCTTCTAGTCTCAAGGAGATGTAAAAACAAATTCAGTGTTCCTTGCCTGCTCATTGCTACGCCATACCCTAGCAATCCACCCCTGCCCAATGCAAATAGACATATACACAAATCCAGTGATATGTGTTAACAACTCTAAAGCTTAAGAGGAAATGCAACCAGATGAAAAGTAGCATTAGTGTACTTAAAGATAGGAAGGGAAAAGGTGTCCATCCTCCTTGAGACTGATCTTACCTGCCACTTCTCCATTTGCTAAATCATCTGAATCATTTCCTCCTTTATTTTGACTCTCAGATTCAGATTCACACTCCAATCGATTCAACTGTGTAATGCAACTAGTCAAAGCCTAGAAAAGAAGTAAAAGAGCATTAAGAGTCTTTCCATTTTAGTTCAATGGATTTCATGATAATTCACAAGAATTAAGCTTGTATTCATGAGAATGTACTTACATTAATATTGTCATCCTTGTGAGTAAGAGCTACTTCCAAATCTTTCTGAGACTTCTCAAATGATTTGATTTGCTCACTGAGCTGGGCATGAAATTTACTCCAGTCGTCAATTTCCTGCTGCAACTGAAAAGTTAAACACATGATTCCCACAGGTTAGGGCTTTTGCACTGGGGACAAGACCAAGTGAGTGAGACAGGGAGGTAAGGAGCCATGCCTCTCCTTAGACTATCACTGTGGGGTAAGACCTTGGTTAAATGGGAGGAGAGAGTGACCCCAATCCTCAGAGCTGTAGTGAGAACATCAGAGCTGACAAGGAAATTGATCTCGTTTATTACATCCTCCAGTAAATTATAGCCAATTCAAATAATTCACTTCCAGAAGGAACTGAAGGGCTCATTCTACTATCTCTCAAGTCTAGGCTCCTGATCATGTAATCTTCCCTTGGCTAGTGAAGCAGTAACTACTAAAACGAGGGTGATAAAATATCTAATTCTTAGGTCTAAAAAGTCAATCTATTACCCACTTAAGGCTACTCAAGTTAATAGTAATTGGTGTTTGACAAAACAAGACTAAACACTCTGACGGGCAAAATAAATTGTACGGAACAGGAAATCCAGAACAGACAGAAAGTGTATACCTATACTCAATTTTGGAAGTATAGTTTAAACTGTATATCTAAGAACAGAATCCTGCATGTACATTACCTTAAAACTAGATCTGAAAAAAGGTATTCATGTGATATGATACTGGGTTCTCTATTTTACATGACCCGGGACATGTACTTTCCTTTACCTGCTCTTTTTTCTTCTTAAGCCTAGCATTTTCTTCTTGAACCTGATGGCATTCAGACTTCACTTTCTCTTCACTAAGCTTAGCTTCATTAAGTGCAATTTGAACCTAATGCAAAACACTCCTATTAGTGAATTAATTGCAAAGAAAACCAAAAAAAAGTTACTTTCCCAAACCAACATCACTTAGTTTTCATTTTTTGCACATTTTAGCACATATCAAATTTTTGCTCCTCAATAAAACTATGATATAGTTTTAATATCCTGCAGGAATTATAGTCAGCTTTACCTCTGAAAATTCTGAAGCATTCATGGAAATAACATCTTTTAACTTCTCTATAGATTTCTTGTTTTCTAATATCTGCCATGTAAAAACAGAACACAAAACGCATATTAGGATTTCAGTAGAAACACTGGGATATACACTAAAAAGAGGAAACATCAATGAAATTCTCCTGCCTAAATTAAAAATGGTAGAATTGGAGTGAGAATAGACAGATCATGCATATACAAGAATTCCAAATGATTTGTGAAGATCCTGGCTCCTCAAGGGGATGGAGCATAATCCTTCACTTTTTAACTGTGGGCTGTGTTACTAACTTCCTTCCAAAGAGAACAATAATGCAAAAGGTTAAAAAAAGCAAAAGTAATTTTACATTGAAGAAACCTGGCAATACTAAGCTCAGTCAGGCCATCAAGATTAATAGAATGTGGGATTTATGGGAACCCTCTTTACTATCTTTGCAATTTTTATGTCATTCTGAAACTATTCTATTAATAAAGTAAAATGCTTATAGTGAAAAAAAAACTTTGCAAAACAAAACAAAACAAAACAAAACAAAGGACTGTTCAACTGGGTTGTGGTTTCTTAGTTGCTCCACATGTTTTGGAGGGCAGAGCCAAGCAATCAACAATTACCTAGGGTTGAGAACCAAAATACTTCCTAGGCCCATAAGAGTAACTTCTTGTGTAAGTACTTAAAATCCCACAAAAACGGACAGAAGTAGGTTCAACTTCCCTGACTCGCACTCTTACTTCACAGAACACTAGGGAAAATTAAAAGTTCAAATGCATCTACAGAGTTCAAAAACCAAATTATTAGTAACACTTAGCAGCAAAACTCTTACCAAATCCTGATTCTTGACATTCTGTTCTCTCTGAGATTCTAACATAACTCGAAGATTTTTAGCTGTGTCACCCAGAATTTCATTATTTTTTTCAAGTGTCTTGATTTTATCCTACAAAAAAGATATTAAGGTTAGTTATACTCATTAATTTTTACTTTTGTTTAAAATGTAATCCCCAAAAGAAGTTTTTACCTTAAATTTAATTGCTTCATCAGAGAGAATCATATTTTGTTTCCTGGTTTCTTGAACATGTTCCTTTGATTCCTTGATCTACAAAAAATAAAGCATTCAGAATCCAGAAATACAAAGTGTTGTGCTATTCGAAGTTACTTTGACGTGACTGACCTCTTATAGAAGAAAACAGTACTTTACACACATGATTGTTTAAGCTCTGGATTGTTTATAGGAATTAATGGAATAATAAATATTATTTTAAAATACCATAGTAACTGAACTATAAGACAGGTGAAAATAATTCAAGCTGGGACCATGGGGGGGGGAAAACAAAAGAATAATTATACCTTCTGTTCATAATTTGACAATTTCTGTACAAGTTCTATATTTTCTTTCATAATAATCTTCAACTTCTCAGAAATCTGCTGTTCAGTGACTGAAAAAAGAAAATATATAAGGTTATTATGATCACTAAATGAAACTGAATGACCCAATGTATCAGCAGAAAGACATGTTAACTGGCATTATGAGGAAAAATAACTTCTTGACATAACTATTATGGTTTTGAAATGTGATATGGTTTGGATTGTGTCCCCACCAAATCTCAAGTCAAATTATAGTCCCCAGTGTTGGAGGTGGGGCCTGGTGGGAGGTGATTGGATCATAGGGGTGATTTCTCATGAGTGGTTTATCACCATCCCTGTGGTGCTGTTCTTGTGACAGTGACTGAGTTCTTGTGGAGTCTGGTTGTTTAAAAGTGTGCAGCATCTCCCCGCTCACTCTCTCTTGCTCCTGCTTCTGCCATGTAAGACGGCCTGCTCTTGCTTTACCTCCTGCTATGGGTGAAAGGTCCCTGAGGCCTCCCCAGAAGCAGATGCCACTATGCTTCCTGTATAGCCTGCAGAATTATGAGCTAATTAAACCTCTTTCTCATAAATTACTCAGTCTCAGGTATTTCTTTTTTTGAGACAGGGTCTCGGTCTGTTGCCCAGGCTGGAGTTCAGTGGCACAATCTCAGCTCACTGCAAACTCCACCTCCCAAGCTCAAGCAATTCTCCTGTCTCAGCCTCCCAAGTACCTGAGACCACAGGTGCGTGCCACCACACCCGGCTAATTTTTGTATTTTTTAAAATAGAGATGAGTTTCTCCATGTTGCCCAGGCTGGTCTCAAACTCCTGAGCTGAAGCAATCCTCCTGCCTTGGCCTCCCAAAGTGTTGGGATTACAGGCATGAGCCATCACACCTGGCCTTGGGTATTTCTTTACAGCAGTGTGAGAACAGATTAATACAAAAAGCAATCTGCTAATAGGAATAAGAACATAAAAATATTGTTACAATTTAAGAAAAATATAATAAGAAACTTTATTTCAATAAGAGTCTAAGTTAAGTTTATTTCCAAGATGGGAAACCTGGTAAAATGTTATAGGTCAATATTCCTCCCTGCATGAAGCATTTTTTTTTTCTCAGAAGATGGCATCACTTCAAATATGTCATTTGCAAAGAGAAAAAGAAAATGCAAGCATGCTGATTTATATTTCTAGTCCTGAAATTATCTACTTAAATAAATAGTTAATGTACTAAATCATTAACACAGAAAACCTGGTCACATGTAATAAACTAGTACATCAATATTTAAGGTAAATCTGCCCTCAATGAAACTAATCTTCTCCCTACTCCCACAATTTGTTCCTCCTCATCTACTATCTCAGTTGGTAACATCACCATTTATTCTATCATCCAAGCTAGCAACCTAGGAATAGGAAAGTTTTCAGAAGCTGTAAGTCAGTCAGACATCAGAAGTCACTAAAACTACTTACATATAAAAGGCATATCGAACACCTGTGCAGAGGGTATAGTACAAATAGCGAAACAGGCCTAAAGATTTACCTTGATATACTCTACTCTTTACCTAGAAAAGAGAAATAAAAATTAAATTGTATGTCAAACATTTCATTAATAGGTGTATATAGTTCCTAACACAACAGTTGGAATTATAACCAAATGGGAATTTAATAACAGTTTGCTTTAGCATAATACATCCACAAGATTAAAAAAATTAAAAAGGTTAAAAGCATGTCAAATTYAACCAGTAGTGATAWGCTGCAGTCTGACAGATAAAGCACTAAGATAAATACCTTGCTCTGCAGCTAAATGTATGTTTACATATCTAAATGAACACCWGTCTTATGAAATGAGCACTTAACTTGAATAACAGAAATGGCTAATATTTTTATAATAAATATATWAACATTTTATTTACTCAAAGTCACYTATTTGACAACTCCAAWGAGCCAGAATGAAATCTAAAAACATTGACCACWCAAAAAGACTCTGAGGARACAAAATTAAAGGTATAATCTTCGTACTAAGATACACSTCTTTTGCTTTCCAGAAAATATCTCAGAAATCCTATTCAAAGTTGACTACTGGCTGAACTTAGAAACAATTCTATTAACACTAAGGTAGATCATTTGACTTTCTTAGACCACTAAAAACAGTGCTCATGAACCTGACAGGGAAGGGAAGATTGCTAGAGGAAAATGCACAAGCAACAAGAGAATGACAACTATCATCTTCCTGAAAGGGCAAAACCCAAATCATCCCCCAAAGACAGTACTAAATTATGGGACAATAAAAGTCAAGCAGTAAGGAATTTTTAAAAAAGAATATTACTAAATTTCTTTGCAACCCAGAACATATTTATCCCTTTCAAATGTTATAAATGGTGATGAAATACTAACACCAGTTCACAAATCACCCATAATAATCTCACTAAATTAATATACTGTTTACATAATACACTCTATAATACACTGTTATTATATATAGTCATTAATATACTGTATACATAATAATTACAGTATCTAAATCTCCCTTAAAATACTATTATTATAGGAATATGCATTCAGAAATTTCCAACATGAAAAAAAAATTACTATCTCTCTAACGGCCTTGCTAATGAGAGTAAACTTCCTGTGCTCCATTTCACCCAAACTAACAGGCAAGCAGAGGCCAAGTTTCCAAAACTCAAATGCTGAGGCTGAGGAACAGCAGTTAGGACAGAGAGCCTATATAACTTTCTGAAAAACAAAAAAGGTGTTAGATTTTTTTATTAACAAATAGGAGAAACAAGAATGGGGAATGTAAAATGTTTTCACTTTTTCCCCTTCCATTTACCCTTTGATTCTCCCTTTTGATCTGAGAAAAAGGCCCGTGAGGTTCGAGAAAACCTCACAGGAAAAAAGACCCTTCTTTATAAGCGATTTTACAATCAACTGTGAAAGCAGAGAAAAATTATTAACCATGATATATGTGATATAATTATGAAATCAGAAAAATAATACTTAGTTTTTGAAAGATTTGCATTCAATAATTTTGGCCATTTTAACTGTTAAATTTCAATCGAAAGCTTTTCATATCTGCAAAGCTCATTTATACAAAATAATCTTCTCCCAATTATGTTAAATAACATATTCTCCCAAATATGTTAAGCTAAATGC